CAGGAATGTGATGAATTTAAAAGCAAGGAACATTCGCCACTCATTCTTTCTTGTATTTTATTCTGCATATGCAAGGCTTCTACCTGACCATTTCCAACATACAAATCATGTGTTATGTGACTATCAACCCTATTTCTTAATTATTGTCTCATTAATAATGGGAAGGGCCAATAATGTGATTACCACAAAAATTGCTACTGGCATATTGGCTGCTGATTCTGCTAAAAACTGCACACCATTTACCTAAGCAGAAATATGACATGACAAGAAGCTTATTTAACTGCATCTAAGCTGTTTCATTAACTTTAATTTTCCTAAATACAACTTCTAGAAGAATCTATTTAATCTGTCAATTAGAAAATTTTGTATGTTTTTCTATCTTAAGAGGTAGAACAATAACAGGAAACAAGAAAGTAACGTAATATTTGAACAAACTATGATAAGACAATGTTAAACTTCATATATTTTGTTGCGTGATATGGGTGACATTTTCAGCATTAATCCTAAAATCAGTCCCCTGCTCTTAAGTGCTCTGAAAACACTTGCCTGTTTTCCCCACAAGTATCAATATGTTGAAGCAACCTATTTTATCTTGTAAATATATATTATTTTCCAGCCAGAAAAAATGAGGATGATGCAGGACATAAGACTTTTAATCAAAATCTCAGCCAAAACACTGTATATTCCCTTTCCCTCCTTGTAAATAAAATACATGCAAAGCTTTGTGTTATTTAAAGCTTTATATTTCCTTGCCACTTTGTCTAACACGTCTCACAAATGTGAAATTGTGCATGAATATATTTGTAAAAACCCTTGTGAATATTCAGATATGTGCATATTGATGCATTTATTATTTGTATAGCAATAACTTTATTGGATTGGGGTCCCAGCTGTGCTGGGAGCTGTACAAACATAACAGTAATGTCTGTGGAATACATTCTCTGTAGTCAGTTCTGGTTTCATAGTAATGTGAATTAGCATAAACAGCTACATAAGGTAATTGTGAACTGGGCTTAGCGGTCTATTCCAAAGACCCATCAATGTAATCCTTTTAAAGTAAAAGAAAATAATACTCCAGACTAGCTGAGCATCTTATCTTTCACACGGTAATGACATAGGGTCTTAATATGCAGAGTGGCACAAGGAAGCGTACGAAGGTAGTTACTAGAACTCAGCGCCTGTCACACTGAAACTTACTTAAAAATACTTTGAATAAGTAAGTATTGAGAACAGTCTTACATTAAAGATGAACTTTAACCAACTTGTGAATATTAATCAAGATAATAAACATTCTAGAAGCAAAATAGCTTTCTTCCCAAATTTAAAACAAGAAAATAGTCTAACTAGACTACCAAATAACAGGTTTCTGTTTGAGGTTACTTTATGTGGTGCATTTTCCTCACCCAGCAAAAGAAAAGTTACTGCAAGCTGACCAAAACATTGACCAACAGTGTAAAGAAAAAAAGAATCAAAAATAACTATAAACTGTATTAATTAGAACTGAATTCTAAGTTAAAACAAAGGAAGCACACCCCCAATGGACTGTTTCATTAAAATGCCTTTCCAGCTAATGAGCAATGCCTACTCTAACAGCTGTTTTTACGCACAGAAGTAATATTTGCTATGGGGAAGACCAGAGAAGCTGATGGCACGCAACATCTCTAAAGATGTCTTTAGAAACTTAACAATCATGTTTTGCTGTCCACTTAAGACTCAGAAGTATTCCACAGCACACTAGCATCTGAACATGGTGTTTAGGACAGCTGAGTAATTAACTTCTGGCTATTGTTTCCCAACTTTTTTCAGACCCTCTTCCCAGGAATGAATTTGCTTTCTCTTCCTCTTGGGCCTGGAACACCAAATACTAGCATAATCAATTTCATTTCTGCTACACACTCAGTCTTACTCAATCCAACTGAGTGATCTGCAAAGTGGAAATTGCTGTATGACAGCACTGCACTCTAAAGAATTTCTACCACATGTATTTGGAACAGAAACGGTCTTCTATAACAGCATAAATCAAAACTTGCTATACACATGAAAATTTGAGAGAGAGAGAACAGCTTATCACATATAAGAAACATACTGCATAATTACAAAGCAAGAGCCAATCAGCCAGTCACCAGGCTTCTGATAGATAGCATTTAACCATACACAATTATGGCAAAACAAGAAGTTTTATTCAGGATTTAATTCTCCAGAACAGAGACGTTGCCAGGAGATATATAATCCAAACCAGCTTCTCTATCCAACCACTTCCCTCTCATTAGTAGGCCTCATAAATCTTACTCTCCAGAAGAGGTCGGGTTAACCTCACTAATATTTGGTTTGCTATGAAATATTTTGATCAGGACCCAAATGGAAGTCTTGGCAGAACTACTACAATAAATACACACTTCCTTTGCCTTCAGCATTTCTTAGGTGAGCAACATAAGCGAACAATGGTCAAACATAGGGACTGAAGGGTGAACCGGCATAGCACCAGGAGCCCAAAGATTACATATCTAATTAAGCTGAATAAAATAATACCAGTATGAGGATGCTCCCGTGAAAAGAAAGCATACATTTCTTCTTGTATAACTCCTCCTCTTTGCATTGCTGCCTTCTCCTTTGGTATCCTTTATTCTAAAACGTTCTGCAGGCTCTTTCTGTTTCACTTTCAAGATACTCAAAGCTTCTCTCAAGCAGTACCCAACTTACAACACCCCCTAAGACACCCTATGAGTATTCACACTTGAAATTCTCTACAAGGATCTCGTCTTAATTATCATCCTTCTCTGTTTGTGCACCTACAACATCCAGGTGTGCCTAAGGCAATACTCTTTCACTCTAGCTTCCTCGTGTTTTTCTTATACATTGCTTCTCTGATACACCTTCAAGTACCTTGTCTTCCTACAACCTTTGCCAGTGTAGTTCACAGTTCTCTTACTCCCTCAGGCATGTCCTCGAATGATTATCTTATCAACGGCAGTTATCCTCCTAATGCAAATGATTCCAAATATGTTTGTGATACATGGTAAAGACAAAAGCCCTTGCATGGCTAGCATAAATGCACAGGCTAAAAAAGGCGTGGGTTGGGGTTTTTCTGCAATGTAATTACATTGGATGGAACAGCTTCCACCTGCGTGTGTTTTCATATTATCTAGAACAAGCAGAAGACAAACAAAATATTGAAGCTGCTGTCCTTCAGCAATGAGGGATAGCAGAAAGACTAATTACGAAATGTCCAGGTTGGCCTTAAAGAATTGTTAAGGCTCTTACTACTGTGAACAGGCTTTAAAGTTATTTTTCTATTAAAATATTTAGTTGCAAACTTAGGTCAGACCTCTTCCCTGCCCCTATAGTGAAGTAACTTTTAATGTTAAATAGTAGATTAATAGCAAAACCAGCATGTTCTGTATGCAGACAGGTGAACCAGAATACCATCTTAGCAAGCTTTTACTAAATTTATAATGGAATTTGCCTTCCTTTCTTTAACAGCACCGAAATCAACATTATGCTTTCAAACAAGTAACTTACTGCTTCTCTGTACCACTATTTTGTAAACAAAATCAGCGAAGTACATCAACCATCAAGAGCTGCAGTCAAATATTGTACCAGGTGGTAGAAACAAACCCTTCAAAGGCACCTGAAACAACAAAATACTCGGCAATGTTTGCTTACACAAACAGCATAATCACTTCTTCAATGCAAGCACATAACAGCATCGCATCTAAACACATTATCAAGGAAAAACAATATTAAAATGTTTATTTAGGTTAGGCTTAGTGTAGAGCAGGAGTTACTTTTAAATTTGCAAATAGAAGTGCGTTTACATAACGCATCGTCTCACTGCGCGCGTCCTGACAGCACCAAACGTACATTCGTGTCCATGGTTCTCTCACATAACACCGCAGAACCCCCTTTTAAATTAAAACAGCCAGGCCCAGATGGTGAAAAGACTTTATTATCATCTACTGTTAAAGGCGTACTAGGTTGCCCTCTTTAAAGCGAAGGGGAATGCTAGGGT